TAATTCCTAAGACAGTAAACATAATTCATAGACATATAGTGTACATTCTCTCTAGAAACCACTGGGTGACAATGTGAAAATTGCCCTGGGGCCCCCCTCATGTGTCTCCTTCTCCCCTCCAGCCCCCCATGTGTCTCATTCGCTCCTCTCCCACCCCCCAAATGTCCTTCGACATTTGCATTGAAAAAGGGCTTGTGCCCAAATCGTCTACTTTTTCTATTTTGTGCTTCATATAAAAATTTTGGTAGCACGTTCTTCATCTTCATGTGCAGACCTAATTTCTTCTATGTAAGCATAAATCAAATTTAGAATTATGAATACATTGGAGTGATTGATACCTATAACGTCTACAGTCCAATTGCCGTTCTGCAGATTTCTTATTTACAATAACATTACTATACACTGTGAAATATCTAGAAAACAGAATACTTACTGATGTGCTTTGTGTGCTCTAACTTATAATGTGTACAAAATATTTCACTGCATACTGCAAAGTATCGATTTTAAGATATGAAAACTCTGATTGGAAAATCTATTTAAACACTATAAAAACACTTTTATTAGTACATGTTCCCTATGAGCAAATTGGGGAAAAATAAAAGAGAAAAATACATTTATACGAATAAAAAAAAGTGTTCTCAGGAATGCTACATACCACTTTCAACTGTCTATACACTGTGTTAAAACATTTTACATTTGTTTGTTCTATATTATTAATAGGTTTGCATAAAAGATTTCTAATCAATAATTGGATACCCATCTGTTACAGTGCCAGGGGGAAGCCTTGTACGTATTTTACATAATCCTACCACTCCTCTTCCAAAGGATAACAGTTTTGCTTCTCAAGTGAGCTCCTCCATTATCTTGCATTACCTTAAGACAATGTTGACAATCTCAATCGGCTCTAATAAAGACAAATCTTGTGATACTGTGGCTCTTTGACCAACCTGACACAAGTAGGAGTGGATAAAGAGTACAGGGAGCTCTAATACCTCTATGCGGTAGATGCTCCCTAGTGCTCGCCAGACGGGAGAGGCGGTGATCTCCTGGACCAGAGGTGCCCAGAGGAAGCTATTTGCCAGCCATAGCCCCATTTTCTTCCCTCCCTGGGACCAGTGGGGGTGATCCTGGTCCACCCCTGGGAGGTAGCCCAATACTGGCAGACTCACAGGTTGAAGTCATTCCACATCCAGTGCAAGCTACTCCCTCTGATGTCCCACTTAGACCTTTAGGAATGTGAGGTGACATGAGACTCTGGAATAAAGCTCTGTACTGTTACATAACAAGCTTTACCTGAGCTATGATCGCATAGCCTTATGACATCATAACAGGTGCTACCATGTAATCTACTCCAAAAGACAGCTACGTGAAGCTGCAAGAGGTTCTGCCAGTAAATCATATGTAAAAGGACAGTTCTGTGATGGTGTAACACGTCCAGCCATTAAATAATTATTAGATATTATAATAGAACCTGTGTCTTGCAGCTTCACAGTTGAGTGGCCTGAGTGGCCTGTGTGCTGTGAAATGTTGTGTTCTGTATGAAACCATGGAAACAAGACACACAAAATGTTGAGGTTTAGCATTGTACTAACCTAGTAGCCTTCTTCCATGTTTACATCTAAGTGTGAATTACATCAATCCTGCCATCTTTTACTAGCAGTACCATTCTAAAAGGGCTGGGGCACAAAATTAAGGCTACAGAGGTTTGTTCAATAATCTAAGCATTGCTGAGCATTGTCAGTTCAATATCCCATTTTAGGTCAAAATAGTTGGGCTGGGTCTCTGGATGGGTCTCTAAATAGGGAATATAGGGACTTCATTCATCCTTGTGCAGTTCATAAATGTATCTTCAGACCATGTGTGGTCCTGCGACTCAGTTTGGCTAAGACTTGTAAGGCAGTTCCACCCTCACAGGCCCAACTTCTGATCAGAATGGAAAAATATTGATGAAATCACTTCCTGAAAACCTGGAGTCTCAGGATAGAGGCCTATGCTCCTCAGGCCTTTGGCCTGTATCTCCGGTAGTGTAGTCCTTGGGGCAGTCTCCCCCTGCACGCCTGACCGGGGATTTGTTCTTCGGTTGTCTTTTTCTTTCTTTCTGTTTTTTCCTCCTTCCATTCTATCTCTATACCTGGCTCCCAGCTCGGTTACTATATATGGACTGAGTTTGAAGATACAATGAAATTAAGGAACAATAAGCAGCAATCAATGGTGTTTTTTTCTCACATGCTTACTTGCTAAACCTGATTATCTGGTTTCTATTCTCTTTTTGTATCCAAATGCAAAATGTCAATAAAAGATGTGATGACGGAGTTCCTACACTCGGACTGAGTCTCTCTTCCACGTATTCCCTTTCCCTGGGTCAGGAGGTTCAGAGTATATATAACTAAAATACCAAACACCAGCTGATGCTTGATGAATGGTATAGCATAAACAACTTTTATTTAGCAGCTTGAAAGTTTTTATACACACACTCCCAACGGGGGCTCATCGAGGCACACAAGTAATCGCATCCGGGCGCCTTGGTGTCTGGGACATAACTTAATCAAACAGCCAGATCATTTAATTAACTACCAGACACCAGGGTGCCTATACAAAAACACCCCAAAAAACAAATGTTCCCCACCTGATATCCAAAAGAGCTCTGGTTCAGAAGTGCAAACTGTCCAAAAAGCACCTGGATTAGAGGCGTCTAGTCAGAGCAATCACTGGATGAAGTATGACCAAGCCGCGAACATTCTCTCGATCCAATGCAGAATTCCACAATGTTTAGTCGTAAGTTTCGGTCACCGATACCAGCTTCTTGTGGTTCCACATAAGGGAGTTTCCACAAGTTCAGGGTGTCACTGGTTGCCTCCTCACCTCCCCAATTTCCTCTCCAAATTGCACTCTGTTTGATGATCGGGGGACCAAGAAATATCTAATTGAAGTTTGCCGCACTGCAGCATATTTCCAATCCAGAAAACAGTTCTGTGCCTAGAAGGGGCGTACATAGCTTCCAAGAGTCCCTGGAGCTAGCTAGACAATACAACTAGGAATTCTGGGTGTCCTTCAAAGTAAGGGTACAGGGTAGAGGGGTGGATGAACGGATTTTATTCCATTTGGGGAGAGATTTGTCTGGAGTTCCGCACCAGTTTTCAAAGTGACTGGATCTCCTTCTCCTTCATTTGACACAGTCTTCTTTTTCTACTGACACTGTCTTCTCTCCTCCTTGGCTCCTTCTGCTCCTTTACCTTTCTGCTACTTTCTGCTTATTTTGTTTTATCATGCCACACTTCCGTGATCTATTGGCTGACCCCCATGCCTCACTTCCCTGATCTATTGGCTGCCCCTCAATGCCTCACTTCCCTGATCTATTGGCTGCCCCTCAATGCCTCACTTCCCCAATCTATAGGCTGTCCCCCATGCCTCACTTCCCTGATCTATTGGCTGCCCCCCATGCCTCACTTCCCTGATCTATAGGCTGTCCCCCATGCTTCACTTCCCTGATCAATTGGCTGCCCCCCATGCCTCACTTCCCTGATCTATAGGCTGTCCCCCATGCCTCGCTTCCCTGATCTGTAGGCTGACTGTATACACAGCTCTGTACATGGTATATATGAGCACTGTGTGGGTATATACGTGGTATTCATAACCAGCTGACTGGATACACAGCTCTATACAGTGTATATATGAGCACTATGTGAGTATATATGCGGTATTTATAGCCAGCTGACTGGATACACAGCTCTATACAGTGTATATATGAGCACTATGTGGGTATATATGTGGTATTTATAACCAGCTGACTGGATACACAGCTCTATACAGGGTATATATGAGCACTATGTGGGTATATATGTGGCATTTATAGCCAGCTGACTGGATACACAGCTCTATACAGGGTATATATGAGCACTATGTGGGTATATATGTGGCATTTATAACCAGCTGACTGTATACACAGCTCTATACAGTGTATATATGAGCACTATGTGGGTATATATGCGGCATTTATAACCAGCTGACTGGATACACAGCTCTATACAGGGTATATATCAGCACTATGTGGGTATATATGTGGCATTTATAGCCAGCTGACTGGATACACAGCTCTATACAGGGTATATATGAGCACTATGTGGGTATATATGTGGTATTTATAGCCAGCTGACTGGATACACAGATCTATACAGGGTATATATGAGCACTATGTGGGTATATATGTGGTATTTATAGCCAGCTGACTGGATACACAGCTCTATACAGTGTATATATGAGCACTATATGGGTATATATGCGGTATTTATAACCAGCTGACTGGATACACAGCTCTATACAGTGTATATATCAGCACTATGTGGGTATATATGTGGTATTTATAACCAGCTGACTGGATACACAGCTCTATACAGGGTATATATGAGCACTATGTGGGTATATATGTGGTTTTTATAACCAGCTGACTGGATACACAGCTCTATACAGTGTATATATAAGCACTATGTGGGTATATATGTGGCATTTATAGCCAGCTGACTGGATACACAGCTCTATACAGGGTATATATGAGCACTATGTGGGTATATATGTGGTTTTTATAACCAGCTGACTGGATACACAGCTCTATACAGGGTATATATGAGCACTATGTGGGTATATATGTGGTATTTATAACCAGCTGACTGGATACACAGCTCTATACAGGGTATATATAAGCACTATATGTGGTTTTTATAACCAGCTGACTGGATACACAGCTCTATACACGGTGTATATATATATAAGCACTATATGTGGTTTTTATAACCAGCTGACTGGATACACAGCTCTCTATAGCCATGTACGTGTCACTTTCCCTCAGCACTCTCAGTATTTATAGACTGGCACACGGCCCTCACTCTCCTCCCTTGGCCACGCCCACCGAGGGCTGGTGTTGGGAGATGGCGCGTGCGAGTTCCTGGATTGGTCAGGGGTGTGACCGCTAAGCCAATCCGCTAGCGGTCTTCAACCTCTGACGTCACGGGCCGCACTGTACATAGACAGCTGGCTGTGCACGCGCGCTCTCACTTCCAGCTGGGATTATCTTCGCGAAGGGTGATTGATCGTCCGGCAGGTAACACGGGGACAGCCCACTGACAGTCTGATAAGGGCTCTCTGCTCTCACTCACTGTGCTACCTGGGCCAGGTGATGGTTTAATCAATTGGGGATGGGGGAACCAGTGTCTGTCCTGGGCCTCCTCCACCTACTAGTGGCGTGTGTGTGCAATGCCAGGCCCTGGTATGTCAGCTCCCACTATGCTCAGCCAGTAATTACTTAAATCATGAAAGCACAGCTGGGGATTGCCACAAAGGCTGGCTGTTATTTTAATTAATCCAAAATGTAAACACTGGTAGAAGTGCAGGGCTGGCCCAAATTTAATTACAACTCCTTTAATTCCTAGCCAGCCATCAGGCCATGCAATGTACTGGCACTGCAATTCTGTGTTCAGGCAGTGAGGGGCCTGGCTAGGGGACCAAAGCTTGCCCATCGGTGCTTGGCAGTTAATGAGGCATGCAATTGAAAACATGTTTTGTTACTGACACTGGAGGCTAAGAAGTAAGACTCCAAGCTGTGATAGAACTACAACTGCTATGATACCAAACTCCATCCCTCCAGATGTTTCTGAACTATAACTCCCATGACTAACAGCCTGTCTATTTCATTTCTAGAATTATGGGAGTTGTGGTTCAGCAACATATCGAGGTCCAGAGTTTGGGGAAGCCTGCCTTAGGTTGTTAGAATGTTATGGATGGAACCTACAACCTCTGGTACCCACCTCCTTGACTTTTAGGGCATCTGTCCATCCCAACTGCTTTCCAAAACAAGGGGCGAGCTTTGTTAAAGCTGCCTTTTAAAACCTGTCAAAACAACCACACTATACTAAAACATTTAACCTGTTCTGATGTTTGCATGCATATTACTTGAACAGTCTTCAATAGAACACCAATAAAACAATGAGCCATTAATTGTGATAGGCAAACATGCCATAGTCTGGAGTACTTTGAGGATGGGAAGTTGGTCATACTATGAAATGATTCATCTTCAGTAACTGGCTCTGTGACATTGCTTTGCTGGCATACATTGGGGATTAAATGGGTGGAGTAGGACAAGGTTTTGATTTATATAAAGGCGATGTGAAACGTGGCTAATTTCTTCCAATCCATTCCTTACTTGAGGGGGAAAAAACTGGTGTAAAATGTGTTGGGTCTTTAAAAAAATAAAAAATTATTTATTATTGTAAGTATGAAGCATGGTGAGGAATCTCATCATACTGGCTGTTTTATGTCAATAATGTAAAATTTTACAAATGTTGTGCTGTGATGGTTCATCTAGTGATCAGTGTACTACGGTGTGATGGGAGTTGTAGAACCCTGTCTATATTGGTTACCCATGCATTAAAATGTTTACTGTGCTGGTTACTAGTTTTCACTGAGCCTCCTGCATTTCTGGCACGTTTTCTTGACTATCAGTGGGCTACTTTGTGACCTCTTTACAGAGGTCGTGCTACTCTGAAGAGGTGAGTCAGGTACTCCGAAGGTTGTGCTTAATAGCACCTTCTGACTGGCTGCTACATTGGGAGTGTTGGGATTGCATGGCTCTGACCTATGTTTGACTTGGGTTACAGTTTTTCTTTAGTGACGTCTGCTGATCTAGTGGTATTTCGCCAGTTTGCTTGCTAAATACACATTTACAGATTGCTTTATTGGTTCTACTAACACTGAACAGTAGAATCTGATTACCTCTAAAATACTACTTGAACAATCCTGTAACTGGATCAATGTTCTTACTTCATTTATTTAGGGAGCTTTTTGATTTCCATACGGTATTTTTAATCTGAGGCTGTTTAACATTATTTCAAAGGAAAGTGCTGGTTATATACTTGGATATAGTTAGTGCTTTTTAAAAAGATTTGTTTATGAAACTATCAGTTTGTGGAAGGAAATCACTTTTCCAACTTAATATGAAAACTTGCCTCCCAACGCCCCCATTTCTTCCTTTAGTCACTCACTTAGAAAAAACACAAAATAATTGAGTGATCTTTTATCTCCTATATAACCGTAACCTCTATTTGTTCCCTTTTTTCTTTCCTTTTTCTTCTCTTACCTTCTAATCCTCGATTACAAACCTTTTCTTCCCAGAAATTTTTAGGTATGTCCTGTCTTGCACAATCTACTGGAAATGTTTCTTGTATTCTGGAAAGATTGTAAATTCTAGGACTAAAAATATTACATGCTAGATTTCCCTTTTTCTTGGGTTTAAAGTCTCAAACTGTAACATATCATTTTCATAGAATATACATTATTTTGGGTCAAAGATTAGAAAAAGCACCATGCACAGCTGATGACTGAAATTAAGTCTAGGGATTTATATTTTTAGGTGACTCTTGGCAGTAGTGGATTTGTGTTGATGTTAGGGAGTCCATGGCATTAAGATGCTGTTGACTGCAATGTCATATTAGTTTTAGGGATTCCAATGTGCAACATTTTAAGAAATGATCATCCCTGCTCCCCCCACCACTCCAAACCCACACTCCTACTGACAGGTTCTGTTTGTTTAGATTGAGACTGGAAAGTTAAACTTATTTAAAATTTCTGGGAAATTCCTAATTTCTCACCTAAAAATAGATTTTTAAAGGGAAAGTTATTGGAGGTAAAACACGTACTTGAATTTCTATAAATGGTCATCAATGGCTGCTATTGGCGTTTATCCATAAATAATTAAAATTAAAAAAAATTAGAATATTTAAAACTTCTATAGACCTTCCTTAAGAAAAACATATTTTTGTTTAGGTAATTTAAAGCTGAATTGTCTAGATTATTTTATAGCTAACACAGGACTGGGCAAGTTGTGTTTTTTATACCTATATCTCTATCTCTCTCTTCTCAATCTATAGACTGCACTAGGCATTTATGCAAAGCCTGCTTGGTTTCTGCTTATTGTGTGCTTGTGCATACTTCACATTTGTCTGACCTTGGCTAATTTTCAGAAGGTGTGTAGTGGGTTAGGGGCGTCTCCACCAATCACAGTGCTTATTTACAGGTAACGCAAAATTGATGCAATGTGGATAGTGATGTTGTAACCAATCTGAAACTAATCTAATTGAAGCCAGAAGGATGACCTGCTAGGATTATCCTGCTTGCATTCAAACACGTAGTTTTAGTTTATTATTAAAGTTGGATTTTTAAACTTAAAGTTCCCACTGGTATGGCTTTTCTCACATCCGTAATTGCTGTCTGCTCAAGTACTAATCCGGAATCCCAGAATGTAGACCATATAAAATCCTGCTTTTGTGCAATTCAATGTCTCTGGATTATGATTCCAGTGGGAAACCACTGTAACATGGCAAATTAATCCCATGACCCAGAAATAGTGATGCACATTTCAATGCAATTAATATTTTCACTACTTTTAGAACCCTTTGAGTTTTGCACAGAATGCAAGTAATTTAAAAGTAATGCACCCCCCCTCCCATCGAATTTCACTTGATTTGCATTTCCGAGCCTCAGCAGCTTCCTGGTTACCGTACTGACAGCTATGCATCTCTTGTGCAAATATTGGCTTTAACCCTGCAACTTAGCTTGTGCCAGTTAAATGACATAATTGACCAGTGGGAAAGATTAAAAGTCAGGTCACAGTAAAACGGTTGAATAATCCAGGGTATAAAAACACTTTAAACTGCAAATTTATAAAAACAAACTTTTTGCTGGGATCTTGCTTACATTCTTATGTAATTTATGGGTACATAAGCAGTGCCTTTACTTTCTAGCATTTTACATAACTTTCCGGATTTGGTTTTTATGGCATGAATAATGGTCAAATCTCTGATTATCAACTCACAAATTTACTAAAAAAATAAATTTGAAAACTCATGAAATCAGTTGTGTTCAACACTATTACTGGGACCATTTAAAGTATGATCCTTCAAGTGGAGCACTGATCTAGATCCAGATTTAGTGTTTTTGAATGAATGTGCTATATAAATTCATCACTCAGCCTTTTGCCTCTTTAAACCTGTATGAATATGCTCTATTTAAAAATAAATAAATAAAAATAAAAGGGCAGTTTATTCCCAAAACATACATACATTATCTAAGAAAGACCCTTATTTCAAATCACTTGACATTTCTGGATAATTATTAAAATTGAATATGAAATTTGTTTTTTAATTGTGTAATAGTTTGAGATTTTTGGTATTGTAATGATTTTATTACTTTGAAAAAATTTAGAAAGTTAATCTAAATATAATAAATCCTTTATTATCTTAGCTTATCCAACAATATTAAATTGAGGCCTAAGAATGCTATATTCTAAATTTACAATGTCAACATGTTAAGTGGTGAAGAAAATCACTGCTCCCAACTCAGTCTGGCATACTTGCCTTTGTTACCTATGTTATTGCACTTGACTTTTTTTCTAATATTACAGCATTATTGAAGTAGCATTTATGAAAAATATCATTTCCAGCCACCATAAGTGTTTAAGAACATTTAAAGTAATCTAGTGCTTTTCATTTCCAAAGCACAGGACTAAATTTGTTTCAATTTAAAAAAAATCCTTGTATGTTTACTTGGGCAATAAGCTTGTATTAAAGAGAGAATTTGAAATGGGGGCATTTCCAAAGCACCACCTATAAAGGACTCGGAGGAAAAGTGTGGGATATTTTGGCCCAAACTATAGGATAAACGTGAATTTCGGACTCTAAGATCTTTATTATCTGGTACAGTAGTACGTGCAGCACTGCAGGGAACTAATTTATTTAATCCCAAATGTATCCCTATGCAAGCACACCAGCTCTTTGGCAGGCCTTCCTTAGCTGTAGATTTTTTTTTTTTTAGATTTGCATAGTGAGAATTATGTCTAAAATGTTGCTATACTGCCCCAGGATGTATAAGGAATGCTGTCTAACTTGTGATGAATCTTTTGTTTGGAACAACCAAAGCTTCTGAATATTAAAATGTTACATTATTTTCTAGACAGAGGTTAAAATACTGTGGTACAGTGTGCTATGGCAAGAGACCTGTGGCCTTGGTAAAGGATTTCAGTTAAAGGATGTATGGGATGTGTGGGGAAAAAAAGCAGACCGTTTTGTTTGTAAATAGACTAACTATTCATCTTGTTTTTGGGAAGCTAACTTTTGAGGTTAAAAGGCAGTCTCACTGCTCAATACTGTCATTTAAGGTTAAGAACTTTAAGTTCCTAGCCACATCTCCCCTTGATGTGACCTACAGTCTCCCTACACATTTCCTATAGAGATCTAATGTTTAAACTTCATTTGAATCTGTTTACGCTCACACAAGATAAGAAATTCTAAATTAAACACACTGAGCAGATCAGATTGAAAATGAAACTTTTTTTTTTCCATCCGGTCTGTAGGAGTCACTTACATGGGAGGTGTGGTTAGGGTGGTATAAACAAAATATTTAACACCGAAATTACAGATAATTAAGCAGTGAGACAGCAGGGGCATCATCTATAACTAAAGTTATTTGGTGCTTGGTATCCCTTTAAGTAACATGGTTCACACTAGACCCACAAGGCTAATGTGGTGTTGTGGTTTATCTCAACATTGACAGGGCTAATAGAATAAAATACTATATTCAATTGTAAGGTTAACACATAATCATGGCTATAGTAGTTCCTATTGATCTTTTATCAAACCCTGCTCGAGTCTTCATTTCTCTACTGTGACTCAATTCCTAAAGATGATCATATTTATTTGCAGAATCAGAAAAATCTTTCAAGAATGTTTTCAAAGTTGATCCAGAGACGCACTTTGAGTGCTCTATATTGCAACCTCAATGCACAGATGAGTTCGGCTGGGGTGGCAGCTACACAGAAACCAGTTGAAGAACCGTTAAACTCAGAATATATATATGACCGAGAAGCCAAGTATGGAGCTCACAACTATCATCCTTTACCAGTTGCTCTTGAAAAAGGAGAAGGTTTGGACCTCACTTTGACATCTTATTTTCTCCACAGATTAAGATTGCACATTCAACATTTTGCCATATATAGGCATCTTTCTCCAGTAATTCCACAACTCAACAAACCTTAGCATAGACTGCTTGCCAAATCCCCACTGGTATAGGCTGAAATCTAATAAACAGACTAATATGTAAAAATTTGGGAAAACTGCTGTTCACATAACAATGCCTCTTAGAACATTTAGGATAAGCCTGGTCTGCTTTATGGTGGGACATTACTTTGTAATGCATGTAACACTCTAGAACTAACAGAACATGCAATGGCGACAATAGTGGGCACACAGAACATACACTAATAGTATTCAAATAAAGAATGATTGATTGGACTGAACAGCTCTTTAACTGCATAGTGCTTAACCAGTCTCTTCATCTTCTTAAAGGTATATATGTGTGGGACGTAGAAGGCAGAAGGTATTTTGACTTCCTGAGTGCTTACAGTGCTGTCAATCAAGGCCACTGCCATCCAAAGATAATCAATGCTTTGAAGACTCAGGCAGAAAAGCTGACCCTCACCTCTAGGGCTTTCTACAACGATGTGCTTGGAGAATACAATGAATACATAACAAAGCTGTTCAACTACAACAAAGTGTTACCAATGAACACAGGTATAAAATATGTAGGACTGGAAGGTTTCTGGTGACCATTTAATGTGAGCCTAAACAAAGTTTTTTTTTTTTTTTTCTCTTGCTGTCCAGGTGAATGATCTCATTGCGATGTTGAGCCAGCAGGGTTTTGTAACTTCTAAATTCTGTATTTTTCAGTAACTTAATACAGCAGGCCCCTCACCCACTGCCCAAATATAATGGGATCCACTGGTCCATGTGGAGTAGTTAATTCCTTTCTATGTGGCATGCTTTAGGGTCCCTAGATTAATATAATCTATCTAAACACTGCTTGCTTATTCTGCAGTGCTGTGCATTTTGGCAGATAGATACACTACAAGCATCTGGCTCGATGCAAACTGGCATCTTAATGAAACTATTAACTATTTTAAAACCCATATAGGTGACATTCTGGCTTTTTAAAATTCAATTCTTGTTTTAGCTAAAATCTACAGGAATAACCTATTGCTGGTGGTTCTCTGAAGGCAGTTAGCAGTGGTTGTGGAGTCTTTTTACAGAATAAATATGCTGATTCAGTAACTATGTGGTGCAACTAGAATTGCTTACCTTATTTCCACTCTTCTAGCTGAAAGTTCTGTAGATTCTAACTGGACATCTGAGAATGACATATGATCAAAATTGGTAAACCACTTGTTGAAATGACTGCCATTACTGGCATTGTAAACTTGGGATTTACAGTCCACAAGAGATCCTCTGTTTTGATATGCATTAATTTTATTTTTTATACAAATCCACAACTCTACCAACAGACCTGTGATCACCATGTTTTAATAAAGCTAGCTATGACGAAGTCTGCTGATTTCTGCTGTTAGATTGATTTACAGTTTAAAAATTTAGCCAGATTTTCTTAAACCTAATTATTTTTTTTTTTTTAGGTGTTGAAGGTGGAGAGACTGCTTGCAAGCTGGCTCGGAAGTGGGCATATACCGTGAAGGGTGTTCCAAAATACAGGGCACAGATTGTTTTTGCAGGTAAAGTCAATACATTGTACTAACATTGTCTGTGCTTTAGATTTTGTTACCATGAATACCTTGAGGCTTCTCCTATTTCAGTTGCAGCATAGTACATATAAAATGCTCAACGTTTTCAACAAGACTGGTTTAATACTGACCACATTTGTAAATTTTGCGGTTTTTGCAAACGTTTGCACAACTTATGTTTTCATTATTTAGAACTGATTTTTTTAAAAATATTTTTTGAAACTTGCCACAGTGTATGCTAAATCACTGGAAAAAATGTTAATGGGTAAAGGGGACACAATGAATTATACTGCAATGTTTAACCGTTTGTGTACCTTCTTTAAACTCGGGCAAAAGTCTGCCTGTACGTGTTTTTAATGGTGACTTTTCCATTTTCAGCTGGCAACTTCTGGGGAAGAACAATGTCTGCAATATCAAGCTCCACAGACCCCTCCAGCTATGAGGGATTTGGGCCATTTATGCCTGGATTTAAAATAATTCCTTACAATGATCTTCCTGCTCTTGAGGTAAACTTTAAAAACAAAAATAAACATTTTGTAAGATTGTATTAAACTTCATGCATTCATTATGCAAAAACACAAGGGAAAATACTTTTAGTATTAGTTTACCCCAAGAGTTGTTCCATTTGTGAGTGGAACTCCTATAAAAGCTGGTATGTTGACTTTAAGCCTTTTTTGAACAGTCTGCTTTAACTTTGCGACGCAGGTTGTTTTTGGGGATCGGGGTCCAGCTGTGCATGTGTAGAACATCTTGCTTCCCACTGTGGAGCCATCTGTAAAGTTGTCTAATCGGGAGGTTCTGACATACTTCTACCTTGGGGAACTAAAAATTATTTCTCAAAATAAGAAATACTGATGAATAGCCAGTAGAGATGTGCCTGTTCACCAGGAAACATTCAAGAGTTGTGTATTCCTACTTCCTTTTAGACCCATCTTGCATATACTTAATTGTATCTCCCTTCTACAGCGTGCTCTGCAGGACCCCAACGTAGCTGCATTCATGGTTGAGCCAATTCAGGGTGAAGCAGGTGTAGTTGTTCCTGATGAAGGCTACCTGACTGGGGTGCGGCAGATGTGCACAGCACATAATGTAAGTGTTAAAACTGTATACATTGTACAGCATGGAAATGAACTCTAGAAATGGTCACTCAAACTCCCTTGCATTGTCTATTTATATATTTTTATTTTTCTAGGTTCTGTTCATTGCTGATGAAGTTCAGACTGGATTGGCTAGAACTGGCAAAATGCTTGCTGTGGACCACGAAAATGTTCGCCCAGACATTTTGATACTTGGAAAAGCTTTGTCCGGAGGAACATACCCTGTAATTATGCTTTTGGGGGGAAATGGAAATTACATGTGAAACTTTTTATAACATTTGGCAGTGTACAAATTTTAAATCCATGTACTCCCACCCATTTCAGCCCCAATAAATGTAATCAGACCCCCTTGGTTTTAGGTCTCTGCTGTTCTGTGTGATGATGAGGTGATGCTGACCATTAAACCAGGTGAACATGGATCAACCTACGGAGGCAATCCTGTTGCATGCCGTGTGGCCATGGCAGCTCTGGAGGTAGGTTATAAGTCCTGTATTGGCGAAATATAGCTAGGGTTGAACAAGCGATTCATGTACTGGCAAAGGGAGGCTCTCCCGCTACCCCCTTCCATGCCTCTAGTAAGTGCAAAATACTAAATATATGATGGAACTGTATTTTTGAATAGCAGATATAGCACAAAGACAACTCTGATTATGAGAATTGGTTATTGTATGCATGGAAATAATTGAGGCCAAGAGGTTGATAAGGTACAGCCAAATATTGGTCAATCCCTGTGCGATGTTAAACCTTGTAATTAACCATGAGAAAATAGAGGTTTATGAAGGGACAAGGCAAAGTGTTGGAGCAAATGTGAGAATAATCTTAAGTGCAGAGACACTTTTTTTTTTAAAGGCAAAAGGCAGAGGCCGATTATGTTATGTGTACATGCGCCTACGCAGAGGCAAAATATACTAGAGCACATTATCCATCCGTGGTACATAGCGAACATGCTAACTCAGTTTTCGTGCATGATGCGCTATCTGTCTAGCATATGTTTGGGTTAATAGAAACGTCAGGCTAGTTACAATTTAAATCGGTATTTACGCATGGGTTTGTATATCAAGGTATGGATGTAGGATGGGTGCATTATGTATTAATCCAGCACGTGTGGATGGGGCTTTGCCTGTCTGGGTAGATGCGTCTATGTGCCTATTTTGTGTATTAGGTTCCTGCTAGAGCTTCCAATGTGCAACTGTGGGAGCGTGGCATTGTGATCTAGGTTTAGGTGCCAATCCTTGAGCCTGCTGCTTTAAACAAATACTGTTCATTACAGTATTGTCATGTAGCCATGCATGCGATGTATGTCATGTCCATTGACCATAAACTTTAGCCGATAAGGATATCGGATTTCGAATGTGCTGGTGTTTGTGTGGACTCGCTCATGAGGCGTCTTTCCTGACTGGAAGAGTTTTTGTATATTGTGTATTACTCAGTGAGCATAGTCCTTTCTAAGTTACAGTGTAAGCATGGTAACATACATTATATATCGTGTCCGTCTGGCTATCAAGGCTGAAATAATAAATGGCATTAAGCTTGTGCACTTGGGGCACTATAACATAAACAGTGTATACATTTTTTGAGCCATGTATAGATTACTTAATTAAATAACAGTGAAACTGTGCATTTCTAACTTAATTGCTAAATTTGAGCTATTTTTGCAGATTAAGGCCCCTGATTTTTAATTACAGGCATAGTCTTACAAATATGTACCTTACTGAAAGTTTGCATGGGTTCAATCTTTAAATATTTAGCAATTATGATATCTACGCCAACATATAGAGCATCTAAATAGGCAGAGTATGCTATAAATATAATTCAACATGGCATGTACTTTTGTTTTCATGCCTGGGTATAAACACGTAAGTATTAACAATCTTAGGTAATGCCTGAAGTATAGTGGTTTTTATAAAATGAAGAATTTTTTTTTCTAAGGTCCCTTCGCTGGGGGAGACCTCGCAGCGCGGAATCCACAGTCTGAGCGGCACCGCTCTGTCTCCCTCAGGTGCAACTTTCATGTTAGCTTATCCGAAGTATGGATGTTTGCGGTGGGCAGGTTGAACCCGCCCAGGCCATCCCAGTCCGGCAGACCCCCCTCTTTTTTCCCCCAAGGCAGTTCCTTGGGTCCACATAGGGCTCCGCTGCGCTGTGGGCACTTGGAGATGTTGGCAGTCCAGCGGTCCCCCCCTGCACCTCCCCAAACCCAGCAGAGCCCCTCTGGAGTTCCAGCCTAGTCATGTCTCACCCGCCTCCGGTCTCATACTTGATGCCGGCACATCCGCCAGGGGTCTGCAACTCTGCGTCACAGGGCTCACAGAAGTGGGGGACACTTTCTCCAGGACCACCCTTAAATCCTGGAGTCTGGGCCGGCTCTGTCGACCGGTGTGCCGCCTGGGGGTGTCCATTCACGGGTTCCGCTGCTCCACGGGCCGAGGCGTCCCAGCGCGGGCCCCTGGCACTAGCATGCATAGTGTTCCATGTCACCAATTGTGGTGTCCCCGGCAACCTATGGCTGGGTGCCCAGAGTTTTGCCATCGCTGGTCTAGGTATTAAAATCTCAACTTCTTAATCCCTCCACTCTGCAACCCCATCCTATACAATTCTGTTTTCGTTACTTGAAAGGATAGTCGATCAACCTATCACATCTTGTCTTGCGCTACTTAATCGCATGGAGTTTAGATGGTGACCACAGTAATTTACAAAAACACAAAGCTTAATGTAACCAACTTCTTATAAAATCTGAAGATATTTTACTAGCATGCCATAGCTATAGGGGTCCCCCCTATTGGTATTGAGGGCACCACTCAGGGGTGGGGGCTGGTGGAAGGACAACAGGTCCCCCTTATTCTACTTTAGGCCCCCACTTGCCAGTCAGGAGGGGGACACTTAAGTTTTTTACGGTTTACTAGACATGCCCCTACTCGCAGTACGGCGAGTAGGGGCAGAATTTACTAAGTAATTTTTACTTTGTTTTAGTAAATTTGACTGAGACCAATTTAGGTCTTTCAGCCTTTTGGTAGATAGCTCCCTAATACTGTGGGAATTAGGGAGTTATCTACTAAGCGGCTGCAAGAGAACATTCGAAGTTCCGAACCTAATTTCCTCATGCGTCCACCTAGTCCTCCTTTAATACCTTCATAAGTCATATTCGGCAAGACTAATTTTCCTTAGTAGGGAATTAGGTGCTCCAGGCTGTCTTTTGATTCACCCACTCTTCTTGGATTATCCACTCTTCCCATGGATACTGCCACTAAATGCTTGAAAGAGTTTTACTTGCCCTAAATTTTCCTTAAAATAGTGGCAGTACAGAACTCCCTCTCTGCTTTTTGTTATATATTTTTGTAGCATTTGGCATCTGTAATTTCTTATGACTAAAGTGGCTGTGTGGGTATTGGCATTTTAAGGTATGAGTGGAAGAAGTGAATTGTTTTTTCCCAGGTTACTTGTCCAGCATAAGAACTAACATCCTGTGGGTAGTGCCACTATATTAGAAAAAAATAAATTTACAGTAACTAAAATTTGCTTTCTCACATATAATGGTCTACACCCTCTCTTGTCTCCTATGCGCTCTCCTGGCTAGCTGTGTGTAGTTAAAGCATTGCCATGTTTAGTGGCTTCTGATTTTAAACAGTTTGACTAATGTGTGAACCTAATTTCCAAGTTGCTTTTCTCAAGACTTTTGTATAGTCCTAAATCAGATTCTAATGGGGAAAATACTTTTATTGTAACCAAAACTTTGTAAATTGGTTCTGCTATTAGGTCATTGAAGAAGAGAACCTGGCTGAAAATGCAAGATTAATGGGAGATATATTGAGAGCAGAGCTGATGAAGACTCCAAATGACATTATTACACATGTACGAGGAAAGGGGTTGCTGAACGCCATTGTTGTGAAACAAAGTCAAGGTAAGACTTTCTACTACTAGATCTATTTCAGACTGTTGTGCCTATTTGATCCATGAAAAGCTTTGAACAAAATTAAATTTTTTGTAAATTTTGACACCCTTCCATAAGACCTCTAATGCTTCTTGTACAACTGGCTTCCTCTAAGTGGGTTACATGATGTTATGTGATATAGAATATGTGAACAAAGTGTGGTAAACTGCACCAAATAAGGTGAATAATTTCAACTACAATATTGTCTTCAATAATTAAAATACTTAATTTAAAAAAAAAAATTTAGGTCTCTTTTGGTAATCTTTGGAGGACCTCAAAGAAATATACAAAAAATAGTGCAGTTTGTCAACTGTGTAAAAAGTGAAATGAGGTTTTACAAAGTGCCAACTCGCACTTTAGAGAGCTGAGAGCTCTGCTGGTAGACGCCTGAACAGTATAATCCCATTTGGCCTTACATGCAGCTCCCCATGCAATGAGCACTCCCCCCTCGACTACAGTAAAAACACACTATTACATTGGCTCTCGGGTCCAGGATACTCGCATACAAAATGGTTCAATCCTTCCCCTGTGCCTTGGAGATAAGAGTCAGCACTATATTAAACTCGACTATCTCCAGGCACAAAACACAAATATTTTACATAACCCCCACATGTTACATCCAGCATATCCAAAAATCACCCAGTACGGTTCAGGAATTTCCTGGAAGTCATAATTTGACCGACCGCACGCATGGTCCCATGCCCAAAACAGTTCCAGAGAATCAGGGCTTGCGGTTGGTCTAGTTTGATAATTTAAAAACCGAACATAGTCAATGTTCTTACCCTGGAGCTTGTTCACCTTGTTCGTGGGAACGTTTCCACTGAACAGTGCCCTTCTAAGTTGTGTAGAACCGAATGCTGGTGATCCTGGAATTCCAGCGGTGTTCGGGAGTTTCAGTATCCGAAAACTGTCCTATGAACCCTACAACCAAACACCGCTGCCTGCATTCACGGGAACAAGATGGCTGCCACCTCGTGGTCCCTCATGCTATATGAACACTTGTAACACTGCAGTGGGAAGTGTTACAAATGGTCAATTCAGATGAACAAGTTCCTGAGTGGTCTCTGGTTCATGCGACTGGTCAGGAACCAAACCATATAATCCCAGTTGCACAAACAGCCTTTTTTTAAAGTATGTTTAGCCAGGTCTATTGCATGGGGCCATAGTCCTGAGGCTGGCAAGCAGGCCTCCCCAAGAACACGTGACTATGTTCAGTTTTTCACAACCCAATGGTATAGTATATCAAATATTTAAATACAAGTAAAGTAAGATCGTACAGAGCAATAACTTACTCTGGGATATGAAAGGTCTGGATCTGAAGCAGCAACAGGATATAGATGAAGAGTGGAATAAAATATACTGGAACTAAAGCTATATTAAAATATAAGCTTTATTAGTATAAAAACAAAATGAAACTAGTGACAGAAGTGACTTTGGATACTTGTTTTTTTTTTTTTTATACTAATAAAGCTCATATTTTATTCCACTCTTAATCTAAATCCTGCTGCTTCAGATTCAGACACTTCATATCCCAAGTGGGAATTATACCACCAGAGCAAGGACTTGCTCTGGATATTGTAAGTGGAATACGGTCTTACTCTACTCATATTTAAATATTCAATATACTATACCATTGGGTTATTTTTGTGTTGTATCTCCTCTACATAACTAATGAACACGGAGAGGCTACTGCACTAACAATTAACATATCCTTAAATGGGGATTATACCGTCCAGGCATTTACCAGCAGAGCTCTCAGTAGCTCTCTAAAGTGAGTTGGCACTTTGTCAACTGTGTAGAAAGTGAAATGAAGTTTTACAAACTACACTTTTTTGTATTTCTCTGAGGTCCTCCAAAGATTTTTATTACAAAGGACCTCTAAAGAGTGTATGTATAAATTTTGTAAATTGGCGTTAGAATTGAACACAATAATGTAGTTGAAATGATTCACATTATTTGGTGCGGTTTACCACTCAGGCAGGGTTGTGTATCCCTGCTGGTTCACTGCTGCCCATTATCTCTTTATAGCGAGCACCTATTCTGCATTTTTTAAAAGTGATATAGAATATGTATATCGGTTGTTGATCAAAGGAAAATTTCTGATGTCATTATGAAGTCAAGAAGTAATTGGCTATTTAAAGTCCTCCCGTTGTGGATCAACAGCTTAAAAAAAGTTTAATTTTTAGGGACCACATAGGTGCCCAGACCTCTTCTCTTTGAAGTGTGTGTGTGGTGTCCACTGTCCCATTACCTTGCAATGTAAATCATTGCAGTTTCAGAGAAATGTTACTAAGCAAATTGTTATGATCAACATCTGTTTCATAGTCTGGAATGCTTGCAAACCATTCTTGGATACACACCATACACTTTTTAGGCATACCGTGGCACAATTTAGTGAATCCTATTTATCTGCTAGACGTGTGAACTGGATCTCGCTCTTGGTAACCTTAGAACTGTAATTAAACATAATATCCACTTAGTGGGCCTAAACTAGCCACTTTAAATTGTAACCATTTTGTTACCATTTGATAAGTGTTACTGTAGAAATGTATATGGCACAATTTTAGTGTCCAGTATTAACACCATTAAGAAATTCGAAATTATTTCAGACCCTTTTTTAAGGAAATAAATTTCTCTCCACTTTTTCTAAACCTTTGTTGCAACATTTGTTTACATCACATTTTCCTGGAACATGCATAGCTGTCGGACCACATGTTTCCTGTAAAGTTTGGTTTATTCTGATGACATTCTATGCAGTTTTTCTAGAAATGAAATACAAACTAGTGCAAACATAGACAATACATGTACAGAAATTTTACTTTTTTAAGGTGTTGTGCCACTTTATAAAATTTATAAAATGTCTGACTTTTAGAGCTTTATTGGCACTTCTTGAATAATCCTAGATTCTGTAGCAAAACAGGTTTTATTTATCTACATTTAGTCATAACAGTTGGTTGGAGCCCTAGACTATATGCATGACTGTAAATGCCAGTTTCAGGTTAATTTGGGATTTTTTTTTTTCCACTTGATTAACACACTGTGCTTGCTTCAGAATGTGATGCATGGAAGATGTGTCTCAGACTGCGTGACAATGGACTCCTGGCTAAGCCCACTCATGGAGATATCATCCGACTGGCTCCTCCTCTTACCATCAAGGAAGATGAGATCAGAGAGTGCATTGAGATCATCCACAAGACTATCCTTTCATTCTAAGTAACTCACATGGTGGACATTCATCAGACTGCAATTTCCTTTTAGTTCATCTAAGTAGGAGTTAGTGCTGTGGCTCCTAGTGACGTGTCTTCATAGAATTGATCATGCTTGCATATATGGACATGGAATTTGCATAATTCATCTGCTGAAAAACATATGAACAATCTGTGGAATATCCATTACTCCAATGCCAAAAAGAGGGCATGAAGGGTTGTCTTTAATTTTCAGTACTTGTAAACTCAAAGCTCAGTGTAACTGAGTGGACACGCTAACTTCTATATAGTGTATATAGTGCTGTGGGTGTTTAAAAGTAAGATTTGTAGATGTTATTTAATGCATAGGTCTGTATAGCATAAATTCAGTATTCCAATCTAGGGTTGGTGCATAAAATAAAATTGTTGCATTACCACTTGACTTTAAATTATTTAAACTGTGAATCTTAAAGGCTAGAACTAAATGCACTGTTCATAAGCTGTATTCCAAACACCAAAGTGCCCCTCTGGACCTTCCTCCCGGCCCCCGGTGGCATATAAAGTGTAAAATACAGCGCAGAAGTCTCTGTGCTGTCGAGGCCCTCCTCTGCTGACGTCAGTCACTGCAGATCTAAATGTGGTGAATGCTACATGTGCATTAGGTCATACTCATAGGGAAAGCATTGACTCAACACTTTCCTATGGGGTTTTAGACTCTGGTTGTCCTCATGCACAGTGTGAGGACATCAAACGTCCTTTCAAGGAGTCAAACTCCACAAACGCAGTAAACATTGCAGTTTCTCTAAGCACTAGTGACCAGTGCAGTGCACAAAGACCACTTCAATGAGATAAAGTGATCTGGGTGCCCATAATGTCCCTCTAATCCTAGGCAATACTCTTTTCAAATGGTACACGTTTAAAAGATCACAACTTTAAAGTGTTTATGGGTTAAAGCAAACTAGCTCAACCTGAGCTCTGTTGTAATCAATAAATCTGAGTTTAAGGAGCACTATAGGGTCAGGAACACAAACATGTATTCCTGACCCTATAGTGTTAAAACAACCCTCTTGATATAAATAAATATAGTAAAATATTACTTGTAGTAAAGTCTGCAGCTGCTACCTCTGCCTTTTTTGCCTGTGAACTGCCTGTCTGCTGACATCAGAAGTGGTGGTCTGATCCAATCACAATGCTTCCCCATAGGATTGGCTGAGCCTATCAATGAGGCAGATCAGGGGCAGAGCCAGCATGATTCAAACACAGCCCTGGCCAATCAGCATCTCCTCATAGTGATGACTTGAACAAATGCATCTCTATGAGGAAAATTCAGTGTCTGTTTGCAGGGGGAGGAGACATTGAATGGCAGTGCTGCACACTAGGCAGGACTACCCCAGGAAGCACCTATAGTAGCCATCTGAGGAGTGGCCAGTGGAGGTGTCACCAGCCTGTAATGTGAACACTGCATTTTCTCTGTAAAGACTGTCTACAGCAAAAAGCCTGAAGAGAATGATTCTACTCACCAGAACAAATGCAATAAGCTGTAGTTGTTCTGGTGACTACAGTGTCCCTTTAAGGTACCACTTTGCTGCATGGTGTAACACATAGTGGGTTGTATTTGCTTTGGTTGTAAGCAGAGGTGTAACTAGAAATCACAGCTCCCTGTGTGAAAGTTGTACGCACTCTCCACCAGCCCCTCCCTCAATGAGTGGTCACTTGATATTTTGGTCACTTCAGAAGTTTAGTTTAAATCTAATGTCAATTGCATTACTAAATCTACAAAAATGTATGATCAATGTTTAGTTTTTTTTCAAGACTTTATTTTTCCTACTTAAACTGACATCAGGACCACTACGGCTTAACCCCTTAAGGACACATGACATGTGACATGTCATGATTCCCTTTTTATTCCAGAAGTTTGGTCTTTAAGGGGTTAAAGGAATGGTTCTGGTGCAAAGTGGCTGCAAGGACTAATGCCTCTTTCTCAGAAAAGGCAGTGTTTACATTGGGTTCCAAGGCCACCTCTAGTAGGTGTAACTTATGACCACCACTATAGGCTTTTCCTTATGCAGTGCTGCAAACTGAGGCATTGCTGCAGTGCAGCAAATGATTTGCATGCACATTAATCTCTTAATGGGAAGCATTGGATTGGCAGATATCATTTGTATGATGTGAAGGAGTGACCAGATTACTAATAATTATTTCACTTTTAAAGGGGTGCCTATAAATCAAACTAGCTGGGTAAACACTTACATTAAGAATACAGGTTTGAGTTTTGTTGCAAAGAAGTCTAGATAAACAATCCATTCACCCTAAAACTACCTTACAAAGCCACTAAAATAGTGTTTTTACTTTAACTAGCTAATGTAGGGCCTATTCCGCAAACTCTTTACTTAAGCTAAACAAAACACTCTACAAGTGAAATAAAGATCCCTTTGAGTTTCTGTCACTAGAAACCATCGGTTTCTCCATTTAAGACTTGGTATATTCGCTATTTTTAAATGATGTATGAAATGGTCTGGTACAGGGCTTATATTTTGAAGTTCTAGGCTACTAGCCAGGTTATCATTGCAAGCCATAGTATACTTACAGGGACTGAATGTCTATTCACAGAACAAAATTTTCATTTGTCAATGGCTAGTGGCAAATGGAAATTTTGCGTCCTTGTCTGGTACACTATACATATCTGATGGGATTCAAACTAGTTGTAAAGGAACATGCCAAATTTAAATATAGAATTATTGAAGAAAAAATTTGATCACAGGATAAAACTTACGAGGAAAGATGAGACAGTGGGATATAATAGAAACATTTAAATACATAAAGGGAACCAACACAGTAAAGGAGACATATAGATATAGAAAGAAACTACCACAACAAGAGGACAGTCTTAAATTAGAGGGGCAAAGGTTTCTAAATATCAGGAAGTATTACTTTACTGAGAGGGTAGTGGATGTATGGAATAGCCTTCAGCTGAAGTGGTAGAGGTTAACACAGTAAAGGAGTTTAAGCATGCATGGGATAGGCAGAAGGCTATCCTAGCTATAAGGTACTCTATGAGCTGTCTGACAAATGACACTTCTCCCCACCACTTGAAATAAGTTCAACAGCTGAAGTGTGCATTTTAATAGGCATGTTTAAAAAGGTAATGTTTGTAATACCTGTTTTTAATATTTAAATGTCAGGTTTGTACCCTGTGTCCCATATACATAATGTAGGGATGTGAACAAACCACAACTCAATTACAGCAGGCTGTAAAACAATGCAAACACACAGTGCAATAGCAAGCCTGGTGATGGGTGTTTGAAGCATATAATATTCAGGGGTCAAGTCCTGGGGAAAAAAGTGTGGGAACTCACCCAAGATACCCGCCTCCCCCCCCCCCCTTAAAAAAATAAAATTAAAAAAAATTACACTCCTATGCATATAGTGCAGTGCGTGTATAATGAATGTAGTGTGTTTGTAGCGAATGCAGTGTGAATAATAATTGTAGTGTATTTGTAGTGAGTGCAGAGTGTGTATAATGAATGCAGTGTGTTTTTAGTGAGTGCAGAGTGTGTATAATGTATGTAGTGTATTTGTAGTGAGTGCAGTGTGTATAATAAATGTAGTGTATTTGTAGTGAGTGCAGTGTGTATAATAAGTGTAGTGTATTTGCAGTGAGTGCAGTGTGTATAATAAATGTAGTGTGTTTGTAGTGAGTGTAGTGTGTATAGTGAATGTAGTGTTTTTGTAGTGAGTGCAGAGTGTGTATAATGAATGCAGAGTGTGTATAATGAATTTAGTGTGTGTGTAGTAAGTGCAGAGTGTGTACAATGAATGCAGTGTATGTAGTGTGTTTGTAGTGAATGTAGAGTGTGTATAGTGAATGTAGTGTGTAATTAGTGCAGAATGTGCATAATGAATGCAGAGTGTGTATAGTGAATGCAGAGGGTGTATAGTGAATGTAGTGTGTTTGTAGTGAGTGAAGAGTGTGTATAATGAATGCAGTGTGTGTGCGCGCTGGATGACGTGTGTGTGCGTGCTGGATGACGTGTGTGTGCGTGCTGGATGATGTGTGGGTGTGTGCGTGCTGGATGATGGGTGGGTGTGTGCGTGCTGGATGATGGGTGGGTGTGTGCGTGCTGGATGATGGGTGTGTGTGTGTGCGTGCTGGATGATGGGTGTGTGTGCTGGATGATGGGTGTGTGTGTGTGTGCTGGATGATGGGTGTGTGTGTGTGCTGGATGATGGGTGTGTGAGTGCTGGATGATGGGTGTGTGTGTGCTGGA